TAACCTTCAAAACAAGGTAAAAGTGTTCTTTTTGTTGAATAAACAAATTCAACTTTGTGTTCTTGAGTTGGACTGTCCATTTGTTAGTAATTTTGATTGTTATTTTTAGTTTTTTATTTGTATTATATATCGAATATCTCATGTTATAAACAGAAAACCTTTTTTTACTTGTTTTCGAATTAAAAAAATATATCAATGTAAATAATTGTTGATTTAAATGTATATAAATATAAAAAGATTTTGATTTTTGTATGTTTTTTGATTGTAATAAATATTTAGTATTAATTTTGGATTTTGAACTATTTTAATAACCGATTTACTTAGTATGATCCATGTTTATTTTGAAATAATATATAAATACTTCACATTTATATTAATATATATTCAAAAGAAAAACACAACACAAAATAATTACATTTTTTTCAATAAAAAAACAAAAAACAACAAAAAAAAAATAAATCTTAAAATGCCTCATACACATTTTTGGCAATCTTAACATAACTAACACATTACAAAAAACCTACTTATCCAAAAATCTTATTTTTAACTTTTATTATAATATGTTTTAGTTTCTATTTAAAATAGTTGATTATATTTTTTGTTGCTGATGATGAATTATTGAATTTTTTTTGCCTTTGTGACAACATCAGTATAGTAAAATAAACTATTTATAAAATATTTTCCATTGATTTGTCCAGCGAAATGTGTTTAAAATGCATTTTTGTTTTTTATTTTAAATAACTTGATAAAAATTTCCAAAAATATATTTTCATGTTTATTGATATTATTGATAAAAATAACCATATTTGTTCAATTAATATATTAAAAACTTGTTTTTATGCTTTCAACACTATATAGTAGCTTAAAATAGTTATAAATAAAACAAATAAATGATTGTAATTATTATTTAAAGAACATTTTTTTTAAATACTACAAAAATGGGAGAACTCGTGCTGGGATAAATTTCCTAGCATCGTTTTTAAATGAAAATAAGAATAAGAATAAAATTCATGAGTGATGCAGCAAAAGGAATTTCGTATCTTCATGATAATGTAATATTACACAGAGACATTAAACCAGACTACATACTTGTGTTTTCTTTGATATAAATTATAAAGTGAATGCTAAATTGACTGATTTTGGATCATCAAGAAATAATAACTTGTTAATGACAAATATGACATTTACAAAATGTGTTGGAACTCCAAAATATATGGCACCTGAGGTGTTGAACAAAAAGAAGTACACAAAAAGCGCAGATGTGTACTCGTTTGGTGTATCTTTGTTTGAATGTGCTATATGGAAAGACCCATATTTGGATAAACAATTTAAATTTGCATGGGATATAGTCGACTGTGTTGTGAGTGGAAAACGCCTAAAAAGGCCGTCTTACTTGAACGAAGACATATACAACATTGTGGACGATATGTGGTGTCAAGACGTACACAAAAGAATAAACGTGAGAGATGTAATATTGAAACTAGAAAGCATTAACATTTAATTGAAATTATTTTTTTATCAATAACAATTAATAACATCAACGTCATTTCAGTAATTGGACTAAAGTCTGTCAATAAACATTATTCACTCCTTCAACCTTATAAATCTCCTTAAAAAATTTACAATTTTTGTTATTCAGTTTTATTTTTGAATTATTTTGTTTATTATAAATCATGGTTTATTTTATCAAAACAACTTAAACAATTTAACCCATTTATTTTTTTCAGAAAAAGTATAGTACCTAATATTAAAGTAAAAAGAGCTGCTGTTACAAACATGGGTTGAACGAACCTTTTTTTGTTTAATGTGATATATACAACAAAGGAATTTGAAAACAAACAACTTTAATTTATATTGAAGAAATAGATAACAATGAGACAAATCATAAACAAAAAGAACAACATTATTTACAAACCAAACATCCAAACGAAGTTCTGCAATAGAGTAAAAGTTAATGCCGTGAGATAGTTTTGGCGGAGTGGATGTCAGTTTACTTTTTAAAGAGTGTATTTAAATTGTTGCAGAGTACCAATGCCTATTAACAAATTATTTTTAAACTTTTTTATGTTTTAAAGACCAAATTAATATTTTTAACAATGGTAAAACAAATTCTTTAAAATTCAAGTATTAATTCCCGATACAACAGTTTTTTCAAAACTAAAACTTAAATTTTTTTAAAAAAATTGACAAATATTACAATTATTACTTTTATTAAAACTTTTTAAAAAAACAATAAAAATTGTTAACAATATTAAAATTTGTCTGTAAAAAATATTATAACATTTTTGATATAAATTATATATTTTACATCATAGAATTTCTAATAATTAAAAAAATTGAAAATATTTTTGTTAAAAAAGTATTATAATAATAATAAAAGTATAATACAGACATTTATTTTTTTTATAAAAATTGATCGTTTTCAGATTAACAGGTTAGATTTTTTCCTTGTGATTTTTTTCATAGGGAGAAGTTATAAAAGGCAAATTATAGTTTGGTTTTAAAAAAATAAAAAAGAAAACCTGTTAAAACTATAAGGCGGTTTTTTAGTCCGCCAACAACTTAAAGAAAACAAATAACAATTGAGAACTAATATGACTAAGATTTGCCAAATATCAATTTTTGAAAAATATTGAGGGGATTTCCCATGTTAAGTTGCTCACTTTGTGAATACAAATATTTTGGAGGTGTGTTGATAACATTTGGTCCCATTTGCCTCTCGAATTTTTATCAATTAGTGTCGAGAGCAGCAATATCTTCAACATTAAGACCGTTTCTATCACGCATCTATTTCTGTTTTTGAATTTCCTAAATTACACAGAACAAAACAAGCTTTACTAACTATGCGTTTATAGTTCACGCATACAATTTATTTGTTCGTATTTTTTCGGCGAACTCGTTAATAACATTATTATTATTTTTTAGTTTTTCGTTTTCAGGTTTTTTAATTTTTTGTTATTTTTAGAATGGTTTCATAAACTACACATGTTTAAATGAAGATCTTTTTCTGTTTATTTACGATTGTGAAATATGATACTTTCAATTCGCACCATTTTATATTGAGATTATTTGTCGTTGGATGTTTTAAAGTGGTTTAATTTAAAAGAAAATCTAATAAAATGTGAAGTTTTTGCAAATTCTATTAATCTGCTTGTATCATTACATCACACAAAAATGTAAATGCATGTGATATTTGTTGAGTATCTGTAATTATATATTAAATAAGACTGTACGTCTGTTTATTATAATCTTTCAAATACGATCTTGAATTCAAATTACTCATTTGTTTATGATCATTTTTTTCGAGTTTTTTAATAATCAAATTTTATTATTTGGTTAATAAACGGATAAAAATCCTTCTTATAATATTTACCTGTTAAAAACCACTTTATTTTTATTTTAAAATATAATACTGTTATTATAAATAATAGTAAAAACCCAATATTGTCAAATAGAAAACAGACTTTATAAAAATTTTAATATTTTTGGTCAATTAGACAAGATAGAGTGGGTGAAACTTTTTTGTTTAACGATTTTTGTTTATTTTTTCAAAATACTGATTTTTGTTTAGTGTTTTTCTGTTATGTTAAGTAATAAACATATTTGTTCAAAATAATATTTAATTATAAATTTAAATATATACATTTTAATTTTTCTTTATATATTTATTTAGAAAAAAAATAATACAATTGTTGTATAAAGAGGAATTACACCCTTTTTAATTCTCTTCAATAAACTGCTAAGTAAACCACGTTTTGCTCGATTTTGTTCTTTTCTTGGTTTAAAAACATCATTACTTTGAATTTTTGTTTTAGTATTTAGTTTAGTTTTTTTATTTGTTGAACTTTTTTATCCAAATGTTCTTTTTCTTCGTGTTCTATTGTATAATCTAAAATGTTTCTTTGTTGACATTCTTTTCACAAATTTTATTTTCTTCTAATGTTTCAATAGATTCTGTCACATCATTTGTTTCCAATTTTTCTTTTAATTTTTCTTCCTCAAAATCAATTTTTGTTTTTTGTTCAAATGGTAATTTTTCATACAGGCATTCCTCTCTGAACTTTTTAACAAAAAGTGATATTCCATCTAAAAAGTAGTGTAAATAATTTGTTGTTATTTGAGTTGTGTAATTTGTTGTGAGATTCTTGATTGCTTCATTTTCTTTTTGATATGTTTTGGAAGAACGCTTAAATTGTCCACTTGTTATCATTTTAGAAACAATTTGCATTTCTTCGTTATCGTAATCTTTGATACATTCCATCAATTGCCGTTGTGTTGGTTTTTTCCTTTCAATTCTTTTAAAAAAAACATTATAATAACTTTTAGTATAATTGTTCGTCCTGTTATTATGTCCAAAAACACACCAAAGTTTGGGAAGAAAACATTTTTTTATCCATTTTTTTTTATAAAATCGCCATCTTCCTTTTTTAAATTCTTCTTCAAGCTTTTGGAATACACAAGGATTGTCATCTACTGGACAAAAAGCGATAGCTTTCAGTCTTCTTACATTTTTACACAATTCTTCATCAGTTTCAAATCTCTTTTTTAAACCAATGGTTTGACAATATCTCCAAATACATTGTCCAAAATGGAACAAACACCCTTAAACTTTTGTTTTTGTTTTTTCTGTTAGAGAACGAATTACTGCAATTTCAAAATCTACAAGTGTTGTTGATTCTTTGTGAAACATTGAAATGCCGAAAGTAACACCATACCCCATTACAACATCAATCATTGTGTCATAAGTGGTTTTCATTTTGTCCATCAAAAGACAATTAAACAATCTAAAACATTGTCCATTTGCTAATATTCCATGAATTGTATACGACTGATAATAAGGTTTCGGGCAGCTTTAAAAGTTCCATCAAGACAAAAAGTGACAATGTTTGTAATTTGTTTTAATTTTTGTTTACAACAAAAAATATCCATTTTATTATCTTTGTAAATATGATATTCATTATAACATTCATGTTCATCAAAATTTCCATTAACATTATGAATTTTGTTGAATTTTTCAGAAAACAATTTTTTACCAGAAGATCGACGGGACTTGTATTTTAAATAATCAAAATTTTTCATACCTTCGGATCTAGGAAGCTGAGGATTATGATTTAACGCTCTTTGTTCAATGTTTTTAATACTATTTAATTTTTCTAAATGTGGGCAATCTTTATGATTGTGAATATTGTCACCAACAAATACAAAGGATTTAAAATTATAAACATCACCATCTTTTACTAATTCTGTTTTAATTTTTACTTTACACAAATCTCTAAAACATGAACATTTAAATCCATTTTTAGTGTTTCCATCTTTGTAAAACAAAAATCCATCTAATACCGGCAAATAAGTACCTTTAGAACTTAAAACTGTTTCGAGAACGTGGTTTATCTTATTATTATCTTGGTTGTAATAAAAGGGCTGAATATCAACATTTTGGGGAATTGAATTAAATATGTTTTGCCTTGATAAAGAAAAAATGGTGTTTGTTGAACATTTTGTAATTCTGGTAGATTCGTTCCTAAACTTGGTGTTGAAAATATTGGTTGTAAAAATTCAGATGTTATCAATTGGGGTTGTATATAACAACTTTGATATGGAATAGTTGTTTGATTGTAATACATTACAGGTGAATTTGTTAAATGATTACGATGTGTTTCTAAATTGGAAATTGTGTATTGTGACATACTTAACAACTAATCTTTTGTTTAAAAACAAGATTATTTTCGTTTTAATATGATAAAAGGGTTTTATGCGTATTTAATAATTACTAATATCATGTTTTTATATTTTTGTTGTTTCATACCAATAATTAATGATTTTATGATATTTTATTTGAATACAAAAACACATTTTTATGCCAAAAGACACAACAACACTTAAAATCTATTTATAACTAACCATTAATCGAATAACCACAAAAATGAGGACATGATAAATACACGGATAACTAATCATTATTTGATAAATTTAATTATTTTGACACAAAAATATTTGTACTCTAAACAAAAATCACTTTTTATAAACAAATATTACATAAAAACGATTTTGAACAAAAAGGATTAAACAAAAAAAAGCGCATTCTATAGAGTGATAAAAGAACGCTCTGGTTTTTTAACCGCTTTTTATCGGTTTAATAGTTATAAAAAATGAAATTGTTATACAAACTAGGATACACACCTCGGACAGAAAAAGTCTGCACTGTACATATTCAACTTTCATTGAAAACAATACAATACATTTTATTATATTAATATTATTTAAATATATAAAATCAAGTGGAAGCTGTTAAAAAGACGGAAGGTTTTAACTACCTGTAATCATCTATGTACTTGTGGAAATTGTTTATATAATTTGTATGTGTATTTATAATCATATAAAAATGATTTTTTGTTTATAAACAATCAAAAATAATCTTGTTTTGTGTGTTACAAATACTCATAAAAACAGAATAATAATTAATATATTATTTTGATTGTGTGGTTAATTTACTTTATTTTATTATAATTATTGTAAAGTGTAAATAGCTTCTTTATAAAATACATGAAAACTAAACACCAATAAGAATAATCGCTTTTCATTACAAATTTATTTGAAAAATGATGAAAATAAGACAAATGTTTCAAGAAATTCATAATTGTATCAGACCATTTTAACCATACGATAATGTTACCGATTTATATAAAACACTTTTTATTTTATTGTTTTTGTTTTTTTGAACTTGATATGATATACAAAAAACTAACATTGTGGCGACTCTTTTGAAATGTAAACAGTAAACAAACATATCCCGCAAACAATAATTTATAAATTTTCCTTTTTTTCAATTTTTAGAAATGTTTAAATTAAAACACTAACATTTGTGTTATCATCAACAATTTTTTTTCAAAAAATGTTTATAAAAATAAAATTATTGAAAGGTTAAAGTACTATTTTATTAAAATCGAAATAATTACATATTAATTTTTCAAATATAAATTGTTACATTTTCAAAACAATTTTATAACATTTTTACAGTAAAAATATCTTTTTATTACGATACACCATCAACAAATACGATTATTTAAAACATAAAACCGAGTAGTGCTGAATTACTTAATGAACTTTGCTGATGATCTGGATGAGATCAACGAGTCTTGTGGAATATCCCCATTCATTATCGTACCATGCAATGAGTTTGCAGAAGTGTGGGTTCAAGATAATGGTAGCAGCAGCATCGAAAACAGAGCTTCTGTCGTCGTGAATGATGTCTGATGAGACGACCAAGTCTTGTGTAATTCCCATAATTCCCTTAAGTTCACCTTCAGCGTATTTAGTGATAGCAGCGTTGATATTTTCGATTGTAACCTCCTTCTAAGTTCTGACAGTCAAATCGACACATGAGACGTCTGGAGTTCCAACTCTGAATGACATACCAGTGAGCTTTCCGTTTAATGATGGGATGACTTTTCCGACAGCCTTGGCAGCACCAGTAGTAGCTGGAATGATGTTACAAGCCGCGCATCTGCCAGCTCTCCAGTCCTTTCCGGATGGACCATCAACTGTCTTTTGAGTGGCAGTAGTGGAGTGAATGGTGGTCATCAGTGCTTCAATAATACCAAACTCGTTGTTGATGATCTTGGCAAGTGGAGCAAGGCAGTTGGTAGTGCACGAGGCATTGGACAAAACGTTCATCTCTGGTTTGTAGGCTTCAGTGTTGACACCAACAACAAACATTGGGGCATCAGCAGATGGTGCGGAGATGATGAACTTCTTGGCACCTCCCTTAAGGTGAGCCTCACATTTTGGGATTGTGGTGAAGACACCAGTGGATTCAACAACATAGTCTACACCGAGTTTCCCCCATCCAATTTGAGCCGGGTCTTTTTCAGCTACAACGATAATTTTGTGCCCATCAATGGATAAGTTGCCTCCTTCAACAGCAATGGTGCCTGGGAACTTTCCATGGACAGTATCATACTTGAGCATGTATTCCATGTACTTTGGGTCCATGAATGGGTCGTTCAAAGCAACCAAGTCGAACTCGGGGCGGGTAAGAATCACTCTTGCAACCAACCTTCCAATTCTTCCAAAACCATTGATTCCTACTTTAATTGCCATTTAACTGATGTTTAAAAAGATACATCACAGCATTTAAATTGATTACACACGTGGTAATGAGTATATATTGTGTAACTTATTTTTGGTGTTTATAATAATAAACTGTATTTCAAAAGTAAGTACTACCGCTAAAAATTGAGAAACTATTATTGGCTGTTTTCCCGTTTTATTGTTATTAAAGACTTTGTTTTATTATTTATCTTTTTAAAAAAAACAAAAAACGGTACCGACTTTATTGACCTAAAAAAACAAACAAATTATATTATTTTCGTAATTTTTCGGGCATTTGTCGAAACGTTGGGAAGTCTTTTGCAATTTTTCTAAGACAGTTATTTCTTTTCGAGTCAAAATAATGAAAACAATTTGAATACATATAAAAAAACAAACAAACATCCTCTGAAGACGAACAAAGAAATGATAAAACGAGTTCAAAAAGAAAAAAATAAAAAAAAAATTGATAACGGATTAAAGCAAGTGTCCGATAAATTCGCCGTTGTTTTCCTTGCACAATTCAAACCTCTTTGGAATCGACATTATGTAGTTATCAATTGTCTCAAGAGGTATTGAATCCCAAGCCCTTTCAAGAGCCTCTTTGAGTTCTTCAATGTTCTCGAAGATTTCCTTTTCTTTTCTTATTAAGGTGTCCAAGTATTGCCATAAGTGTTCAATTGGGCTGAGGTCGGGGCTATTTGCAGGCCATTCTTTCAGTAGTCGAACCATGAGCTTCGGGTCCAAGCCTTCAAACCATTCAATTGTGTTTTTCGCTGTGTGGGGTCTTGTACCATCTTGTTGAAACACCATCCCGTGTTTGTACACCTTCTTCGCGTTTTCAAACACTCTTGATTCGGCCAACATTTTTTGATAGTTTACCGCGTTCAGTGTTCCGTCGACGAAAACGAGTTTTGACTTGAAATGACGCCCAATTGCTGCCCACACCATCACACCCCGATTGAACTTGGGAGTTGGCACAAACGCCTCCTTATCAAGATCTCCACGTCTTCTCCAAACATATTTTCCGTCAGAGTATAAACAAAAACGACTCTCGTCGGAAATGAGAGTGTTTTTGGTCCACGTCAAAATACGCTTTGCGTTTGCCAGCTGTTTCTTAACAAAAATAAGTCTTTTTGTTATGTGTAATGGTTTCAGAGCCGGCATTTTTTTCTGCTTTGCAAACACAAATTTGTTCTCTTTTCTAAGACGATAGACACCTGAAAGAGTAACTTTAACATCGTTGGAAACCATAAGACAAGAAGAAGGATGGGTTAGTTAATGTTCGTGTGACAACACTTTGAGCAACATTAACACTGATGTTTTTTGGTCTTCCCATCTTCTTTGGCTTTGTCTCCTCTCCCCTTTTGATACTAGCTATTTTTGTTTTGGAAACTCCACAAAGCAGTTGGATCTCGCGATATGACAGTCCTCTTTCCAAAGCCATCTTGACCCTCTCATTCTTCCCTTCTTGCTCGCGTTCATAACTTTTTCTTGGTTTAGACATGATTATTTAGTTTTTTTTGTTATTCAAATTGTTTTGGGTTTCAAAATTAATGTTTCTAACTTTTCGGCAAAATCGATTATTTTGTCAAGTCTTTTTTTCGTTGAAGAAAGTTATTTAGAAATTTGGAGGGAAAAATAATGCGAATATTTTGTTTGTTCGAGAAAAGATAAAAGTGGAAGACAGTTATTTGAAAAATAAGACGAAGAAAAATGAATAAAAAACAGAGGTAAAAGAAAAGAAAAAAAATGGGTTGTTTATTTAGCAAATATTGGGGTAATTTCGGTACCGACTTTTGGAAAACAGTTTATTTAATTTAACACACAAATTTATTGAAAAAAAAACACAAAACGGCAAACACATCGTGATAAATCTTAAAGTTATTGTTTATTAAGAATTAAAATTTTTATTCGAATACAAATATTTTATGAATAATCGTTTTTTGGAATAATTTTTGTTTAAAAAAATAGAACTTCAATCAAAGTAAATTGTGTAATTTATTATAAAGAGTTGTAATAAGTATAAAAAATTTGTGTACAAACTATCAATTTATTATTTTGATTTAATATTGCCTATTATATTATTTAAATATGTAATATATTATTTATAAATGTAATAAAACATTTGCAAAAACGTTTTAAAAATAAACTACACAATAAAAAATATCACAATTGATTTTAAATTTAACAAACTAAAAAAAATAAATTGATGTCATCTTCACAAATTATTAGATATAACACTTTTAAATAATTATATTTTTCGTTGTAAAATAAGATAAAACGAAAAAGTTGATTAATCAATCGACTTTGAATGAATTAAATCATCTTTTCTATACAATAGATCGATTTTATTTTAAATATTTAATCTAAATAAATAAATTTGAGTATTCGAAGATAAAAATTGAATTGATCTAGTTTATTATAATATATAAGATAATGAATTGAAATAATGTTTATAAAAAACAAAAAAAATAATTATTAAACATAACAGAAATTTTATTTGTTGTCAACCAAAGTTATTATATGTTAACATGATGAATTAATTCAATTATGTTAAATAATTGTTTATAACTGAACAGACGATGATTTTGGATATTTTTACTTTAAACACAACAAATCTTTAAATTGTGCCGATTTTTTAAAGTGATTGTTCGGTACTAAGTTACTTACCAAAAAGTGTTTTACATCTTCAAAAACTTTTATCAACATAGTTTTTTTTAAAAATACTGTGCTTATCAATCAAAATATTTGAACTGTATTGTTATTAGTACGACCATTCAAGTCACATGTAAACTGTTTTTAAATGCACCAATAGCAAAAAAATAACACGACCAACACAAATTAAAAATAATAACAATACTTTTGTAAAAGCATATAAAACCCATCGCATTTAACATAAACTATATGGAACATTTTACAAATAATAATTTTTATCACCATTGTCACTTATTGACACTGCAATTGGGTTGATTGCATTTTTGCGTTGATGACCAATTCTAAATAAAACATATTGCCATAACTTTGAGCTTATTAAAGAAATGGGATTAGATAAAAATGAAAAAATATTTTTACATTTTTAGAAAATACAGTTGAATGCGAAATACTCATTAAAATACGAGTTTTTATTTTAGTTATTATTAATAATTATTATCACATCATCGACATAAAAATACAAAAATTAATCATTAAATTTTGTTCATCGTCTTTTGATATAAAATACGTATTAAATTATTTAAGAATTATAACAGTATATTGTAAATTTTTATTTTTTTTATAATAATCACAATAATTGTATAATTTGTTTGACATAAAAAATGAACATGATAATTAAAAATCAGAAAAGATCTATTATAAATGATTTAAATTTATTTATTTAATACAATTGTTTAAGTCTAATTTGTTTTGTTTATTTTTTAAAACTTTTTTATATAACATTTAAAAATAATTGAAAAAATATTAAATATAAATTAAAATGATTTCTTGTCATTAAATAATTATTTAATTTATTGTTTAAAATTAAATCAAAATAAATGTATCTTACAAGGTAATTATTAAGCTTTTTTGAAATACTTTTCAAAATACTATGTTATTAATAGTTCAAAAAATAAATTATTTTATTATAAACAAAATTATTACTTTCGACAAAATAACCAATTACTTTTGAACATTGTATTTACAAAAGGTGTATTTATAACAACAATGAAGAATATAAATGATATGACCTTAATATCACCGTTTTGATATTATTATTGTGTTCATTTTTGAAAAATTAACTTTTCAAGGCACAAATTATCATATCAAACAACACAAATTGAGTTAATGGCAAATCAAAAATACCTTTTATTAATCCGATATATAAACTTTATGAAAACGTTCATTTACAATTTAAACTCGAACAATATAACATTAAGCATCAAATGATTTCCATCTTTCTTGTTGTGTTAGTTGCTCAAGCCGAATATCTCATGACCACCTACGATGAATATGTGAATGTCTATCAACTCGATAAATGTTATTACACTGGAAGCAACAAGTATACAAAATACATCAAAGATGGCAAGAAGGCAAGAATTTACACATCAAATACATGTGATAATTGGGTTGATGAAGGCTCTTTTGAGCTTGAAAACAATCAGTTGTTTTCGAATAACCTTCCAGAATACTCAGCAGTTGCTTATTCATACCTTGATGCGGAACACTGCACCATCAAAGGAAATGGACCATATCCATTAGAAATGTTAATCAAAACCGGATGTGTCAAAACATCAGTCACAACCTCATCGAAATCAGAATTTGTAGATGGGTGGTTCCATAAATACACGTATAATACATCAACCACGTGTGCTGGAACTCCTTCAAATGTTGTGACCAAGGGACTGGCAATATGCTTTACAGATAAAGAAGGATTATATTACACAATCAGAGACTCTGCAGCAACATTTTCAATGTTATTTGCATTGATGTTGGCTCTACTAATTTAAATCAACAAATGAGTCATTTATTATGTTGTTTACATTTTTAGATATTAATGTATATATCAATTTATAAATTGTTTATTTGTATACCTTTTTTAAAAGTGGTTTGGATTTTAATTTGTTTTTAAACTTTATATTATTTTTTCAATATTTGTTCATGTAATTATTACTAAAAGATTTATATAATTAAATGGACAAAACAATTTGGCAAAAAAATTCCTATTTTAATAAATTTCATTCAAAAATGAACATTTTTAAATAATTACTGTAAAGTTATAATTGTATTTATTATTTTGATATAAAATACCAATCTTAATATTATAATACAAATCACAGTACACATATTAAAATTGATAAGTATAAACACATTTTATTTGTTATTAATACTTTTTGTATATTGATTTAAAGTATACTACTTATTTTAACTCTATCAAAATTACATCAAAATTTTAAAAATTATATGTTTTAAACATAAAAACTTTTATTATGTTATTGTAATATATATTTAAATATTGTTATTTTTTGAAAATTGCAAATATTTTACACATTTTTTTAATTTAGAATTTTGTGCCTAAAATCAAAAAGGTATACTTTGAAACACATGATTTCAATTAAAAAATTAATTATTAAAACAAGATAAAATAAAAAGAAAACCGAATACAAAAAACAATTAATAAATCAATAACACATAACATGCAAACACGTTTGAGTTTAATTATAGATACTCTTTTTAAAAATCCAATTGTTTAAACCAAGAAAATTAATCCAAAAATAAAATCAACGTGTCGAATTAATGATTTTTACATAATGATGTTTTCAAGAAACTTTCGTTCAATAAAAGACAAAATCTTATTAAAATAATTAAAAAAGTACAAAAGCAACATGTCAAAAATTCACTTCACCCCAATTTACCTTTATAACCAAACATATTAATATTTTTAACACTTTGAGACTTTGTAATAATGGGTAGTTACTGTTATTAACAATTTTTTATATATAACTGAGACGCGTTCTTTATAATCCAATTTACGAACAAACAACATAATATACCCTTTTATATATAGTTTTTATGTTATTGGTCGTCCAACTGCAATACAAAATTTAATTTCAATTTTCTTAAAAGTGAATCAAAATATTAAATAATTCGATGATACAATTTCAATGGAACATAAATAATAAATTACAATTTTATTTGAACTTTTTTACAAATCACAACTATTTTAAGCATTGTGTTTATTTTTACATTGTTATATTCACTTTTACGTTGGAATACTAACAATTTGAATTAAAATGTACATTTTTTTTATTTACTTTCTTGTTCTTTTGACATCTTCATAGTTACATTAAAGATATCTAATTGATTCAGCTTATTTAGCTATTGTCATGACATTTGTGGGTGTGCATCTATCAAATTTTATCTCTTTTTAATTGTTATAAGTAATATATAGTCTCTGTATTTTATATATGTTTATCAATGGCAATATATTGCCTTTTAATTTAATTTATTATTCCAATTATGACCAAAAAATGAATATGAAGTTTTGATGTAAACTTTTTTTGTCATTTAAAATAATTTCGTTTACTTTTAAAAGTACAGACCATCAATTTTTCATTACAATAATTTATCATTATGTTTTTTATTGTTTTGGTATATTATAATAAATTGTTATTGTTGTCCAAACTATATTTAATTTAAATAAAAAGTTTACTTATTTTTATAACATTACAGTGAACTTTTTTATTTGTATCTTTATATTGAGTTGTTATTATTTAATTAACAAATTGAAACAGAGTTTGGTGTATTATTTAAACACTCGGCTCTTTATTTTTGTGATAATTATGTTTTGTCATTGATGTAAATGCTTACATTTATAATTTATAAACTAATTGTTAATATTTGTTAATTAAAATTGTTATATAATTCAAAGTGTAAAAAAATAAAAAGTGTCAAATGATGAGTCACAAAAACTGAATTAATTCACAGCGTGGATTTATTTCTTCTCCTCCTTCTTCTCAGTGGCAGCAGCTTTTGG